GGCACAGCATGGCTGGAGTGCAGCCCAGTGCATGGGCCACAGGCCATTGCACCTCCAGAGTCTCTTCTTCTATGGCTTCCTTAGTGCTGTGAGCCTGGGAAACGCTGCAACCTCGGGGTGTGGAAAACTTTTGTCCCGGAGACATCCTTTAGAGGCTCCTGCAAGGAGAAGGAAGGCGCCTTTCTGACAAGCTTCAGGAAGTGACCTCCAGTCCTCTCCACAGGACACTCAAAGGTGGGGCAGGGGAGAGAACAAAATGTGGATGGGAGGTGTCAAAGGCATCTGAGGACTCTGGCTTCACTGACCGCAGCCTTCAATTAGCTTTTGATTTTCTCCTGGTGGGGGAGGCAGTAGACACGAAAGCCTTTTCCAGGTAGACATATGTATGAAGGGAAAAGGAGCCTACTTTCCAGAACAAAAAACGAAGATGAATGATGAAGAGAAACTGATTTCCATTGTTTTGGCTTCGCTCTAGTAAGGCATTCATAGTTTACCTTTGGGTGCCCAAGCACTTTGTTTCCTTACAGGCAGGCATTCAAATATTTTCAGTGACATCTGGGAGAAAAGTTTCCCTTAGAAATAATATTTTGAAATAGTCTCACCAAAGAAAGCATTATTCAGTACAATCAACAGAGGTTAGACTGAGAAGATGGTAGCCCAGAACACTTCCCCAAATGTTCGACACAGAGGCTCAAGTCTTCCAATCACTATGCCCCCAGAGAGGGGACGTACACAAAAATTGTCATTCCTGGACCCTAACATTATAGCTCCCTACCTATGAAACACAAGCTGCCACCCCCCAGCCCCCCCCGACCCCGGGGCCAAACTTCAAAGTAAACTGCAAGGCTCTATAAAGGCCATACTAGAAAATTGACTGCTGCTTGTGAAAGACGAGAAAAATATATAGGCTAAATATATGCCAGGCTTTCTTCCTGAACACCATTAATTATGACGGCAAGGAAGAAATATCTAGTGAAAAAAATGTCAAGACAGAGTAGAACTAATTAGAGTCCCCCCCAGGACTCCCTGGTTGTTATCATTGATTTTGATCATGATAAACCTTAACAATAACACAAGGTCCCACACAAGGAAAAGTGCCAACAGACAGGATGAGCCCTTCTCAGCCGGGAATCTTAACCCTTTTACGGGAATCTTAACCCTTCTACGTTAACTGGATCCCTAACTAATTTGAGGTTGAACGAAAACACCACTGACTGCACTCATTCAATGCAGCAACCATTCCTAAAACATATTTTAACTCGACAGCACTGTCTTCCTTAAAAGAGGAGTAATGCTGAATTCTCTGCATTCTTCCATATGCAATGGCCACAGAGTCAGAAATAGAGACAATTGTGCAAGTCAGCTCCAGAAAGGCATTTTCCTTCTAATTTCATAGCTATGGAAAAGAGGAATTTACGACTGTGCTCTTTAGGGCAGAGTGGATATTTATACTCCATGGTTGGGCATTAGTTCACCTTGACCACAACAGGAAGAAAAAAAATTGTAATGTCTTGAATGCTGTATAGATTATTCTTTTGCATTTTAGCCCCCACAGATCCAAACTAAGTATTTTAGAGGCAGATCCTGATAAAATGAGCATTCTGGGAAAGTCAGAGGTATAATTAAGTTTAGACATTAAAGGAATTAATTCTGTCTCTCTCACTGGATCCCAGCTCAAGTAATTCAAATCACTGGACTATGCAAACATTAAAAACGAAAATCACCTTTCTCCCCAGGTCTGCTTTATAATCTCAAGAACAGGCTGGGCATGACCAGTCACACCATGGGGCCAGGTTTTGCTGTGATGTTCTGAAGCACTGAAAATTCAGTCTTTAATGATTTGGCAATATCCAGGGAGGAAGGGGAAACATCTGAAGTTATTTTTACTTTTGTAAGTCTTCTGGTTATACAGGGTGAATGGTAGGGTGGATCAAGTATTGTCTGGAGCCTTTCAGGGTCTTTTTTTTTTTTTTTTTTGCATGGCCTCATTTCCGTCTTCCTGTTGCTAGGAAGGAGAGTTAAGCATGAGAAACTTGTGTTGACAATACTGGACCATCCTGTCCAGCACAAGGCTCTCTTCAAAAAAGTCTGATTCACTTCACCCACTGTACTTTGGATGTCCCCATTCTTCTGGACCAAATCACCCTTCCCTAAATATTTTCGAATTGCGTGTTTACCCGCCTAAGTCATAAAAAAATACCAGTCTCATTTAAACATTGCATCATGGCTTAAAATCTCTACGGGGACACGAAGGGAAACCCAAGTACTTATTTCTGTATTTGAAACCACCTCTTGGAACCTCACCAAGCCTCTGATTGGAAGTCATCTCACTGGGGCCTCTCATATCCTCTGTAAGTCCCATTAATAGTTCTACAAATAAGAATTTAAGTACTATATACATTTTTAAACACACTTCGCAGTAATAACTTGTTGAATCATAACATATTGTTCTACTTATCTGGTATATTTTCCAGGAGGATCCAAACTCTTTTAATGTAAAAATGCTCTTAAACTTCACTTGGTCTTTGCTCTTTGAACCAACAGTACAGAACAACAAACAAACAAGTAAAAAAACAAAAGCTTTAGATTGAAGGGCAACCTGCCTTTCACCTTTGTTTGAGAGCCATGAGAAAATCCTTTTGATTGGTCCAATGTATTAAAACTTGAAACACTGCCTTCAATTAGTAATAGTGAATTGCTTAACTGTTTAATCTTTTCACTCTTTAAGGAGCGAGTGGTGTTTCTCATAAGATCTACAGTTGGGAAGTTGTGATGACAAAAGTCACTGAAACCACTTTTCTCATCCACTCCAGGTAAATTGGAGGCTGTGTGGAGGTGGGAAAACCAGTCAGTCCCCCTTCCTTGAACTTTCAGCCTGTTTGGTGTCACATGTTACCCAGCCAGAATTAAAATAACATTTTTTGTCAAAAGCAAATTTTTAAAAACAGCTGAGAGAGAAAGTCAGTCGGCTGTGCTTCATTTCAAATTCTCTGAACAGTAGTGCTAATGCAAAAAGTATGCGTCCAGACTTGGGCCACGCTGTAAATCTGGCATTCCACAATAAAAGTTAATACACGCAATCGCCAAGATTTTCTCAGAAAATGTCTCGAAATAACTTCTGTGCGCACATCTGCTAACCATTTGACACTCGTTCCTCAGGACTTCAGTTCTTCCATTAGGGGGGCTGCTGCCTTACAGGGCACCCCTCTGACCATCTGCTGTAGTCTGCAAGCCAAGATGGCACTGGGTGCCTCCCTTAATTCCACACTTATGGTCTGCAAATTATCTCTGCCGAGGACCAGCCTGCAGTCCAGATGGATGGTGAATTAGTCAATCTCTTGGAGCTGCTGATAGATTTACATTCAGAGCACTGCAATCTGCTGGGCTATTATTTTCCCCTCATCCCTTCAGCAAACAGAATTTTGGAGGAAAAAAATGTAATTTGAGACTCAGTATTCGGTCTTCTCCAGAGCTGTCATTTTTTTCTACTCATATACGTCATATGTGCCACCAGCCTAGGCTGCATTCCTCTATCTCACCAAGAGTAGCTGAAGCAATCTCTGAATCCTGAGAATGAACCCATTTGCTAACCACAGTGGTTGTAAAAAGACTCACTCAAAGCAAGACTGGGGATGGGGAAGGGAGGGAAGTGGGACAAAGTTTTGTGCTCCACAATGCAGATTAATGACTATAGGTAGGGGTTTCCTTCCATAGTAATTAGCATAAATTGGGGATTTGTTGAATATCAGCAGGACACCTCGCTAAGCACTTCTACTTACATAGCGCATTTGACCCTCACCACCTCCTCGCGCAAAAATACAGTTATTACCCCCCCGTTGCAGATGAAGGAGGCACAGTGAGGGCGTGTCACTGCCCAGGTTCGCCAAGCTGGCAGGCTGCAGATTCCGACCCTGCCGGCCTCACCCCTGTGCGCTCTCATTCCCCTCGCCCCACAGGCTGTGCGCTGGAAGGACGCGCGGAAACGCAGAAAATTACAAACAGCAGGGTCGCTTTGCCGCTGTGGGGGTGAAGCTCCTTCCCAAGGATCAAAGGCTCGACCCAAGACGTCGGAGGTGGGGACAGGGACACAGACTGGGACGCGGGGCAGGGTTCCAAGAAGCCGTCGCCTCGATACGAAAAAAGCCGGGTCTGGCGGCGTGCTTCCTTCCTCCTCTCCCGCCCAGGGACTTGCTCCGCGGGCTCCTCGCCGGGGCCAAGGGCGTGGGCATCTCCACGGGGCATTTCAGGAACCCGATTCAGCGGCCCCGCACTCGAGGGCGAACTGCATTCTTTCTAACAGGAACCCCTCACATGCAAGCCACGGGGCTTGCTAAATAGCCTCAGCACTCTCCACGGATCCGCAGCCACCAAACCCAGACTTTCCTGGCCCCCAGTCCGAGTGAATTCCCAGCGTTTAAAATATCTGAACCAAAAGCAGTTTGAAATGAAACAAAGTTTTTTAATGAACTTACTTTCAAGTAGTGATTTTAAAAAATTCCACGTGCCACTGGAGTCTAAAATATCCCCAAATAAACTCTCAGGAGTCAACCCTGATTTTGGACGTGGATGGTGAAGGACTGCAAGCACCAAGCGCGCAATGGTCCCCAAAGGAAGGTAGAAGGTGGTGGCGCTGCGCCCCTCCCAGCCGGCAGCCCCGCGTCCCCAGCCCGGCCCCCTGCCCCTGGCTCCACCAAGCAGCAAGTTAAGTTAACCTGGGCTTCACTTCATTAATCGCGGCCGACTCTGAGCCCGCCGGGGTCCCCAGGCAATGGTGGCTAAGGGTCATAACCCGAAATTCAAACCTCCCTCCCCAAACTGCGACCCCGGCTTTCCCCACACACCACCTCCGAGAAACTCGGGCGACTCCTCAGAAAGCGTTTCAAAAGCACAGAACGACAGGCACCGACTTGACAAGGCGGGGTGACATTTTCTCCGCAGCGGGTCCCCTCCGCAGCTGGCTCCCCCGGCTGGCCCGACAGCAAGGCACAGGTCTAGCTTACGTGTTAGGATCATGGTGTCCGGCTTCTCTCTGCACATCCAGGGCGGCCGAAGGCGGCAGGCGCGCAGTGGGGAAGTCGAGGCAGGCCGAGGCAGCTCGGCTCCGCGTCGGGACCCACGGCAGCACCCAGGACGCGCGCCCTAGCGGTGCTCAGCGCATCCTTGCCTCTCCCTGCCCCTCGCCACGGCCCCAGAAAGAACGCGGGGTTTTCTAGAGATCGCAAAGGGAGAGCGCTCAGGGAGCTGGGCGAGCAGCTCGGGAGCGGTTGCTCCTGCTGCGGGGAGGTTCGGCCATAGCTGGGACACAGCGACGCGCCCTCACTCCGGTGGCTGGAGCGCACAGGCTCTCGATCGCCCGGCCGGCCGTGCCCTCCCGCTGGGCCCACCCCCGAGAGGCGGGATCAGCCTTGGCAGCGTCGCCTCCTCCGGGCGGTCGGGGTCGCAGGCCGCTGCCCGGGGCTGTTCTCTGACCCCGCCCCCCTCCCGGACTCCGCCCGGTCCCCGCCACCTCCTCGCGGTCTGGGTCGCCTGCCGCAGCCGCGGGCCATCCTCTGGCCCCGCCCCACCTTCTAGGCCCCGCCCCACCCTGCGCCGCCTCCGCCCAAGGCTGGAATGTTTTCCCCCACTGTGGCCTGCACGTCCGCAACGGGAAGCGCCTAAAAGTCGCCAACTATTGGCCCCAGGTGCAAAGGGAAAAGGCACGAGGCATTTACTTAGCGGGGCTGTCCTGCCTAGACGCTGGGACACCGTGCCCTTTCTATCTTGTTCTTGGTTGCTCTGCGCACTTTTTACCTATGTAATTCTGCCTTTCGTCCTGGTGGGAATCATCTAAATTTGTGGGAACAGAGGGGAACGGGAGAAGTAGGGATGGACCAGCGCTTCCTGATCTGTAAAATGGAGAGAGTACCTGTCCCTTGGACAGTCAACATTCATTGCTAACGCCCGTAGGGGCACAGAACGAATGTAGGTAATTAACACTGCCTTGGAGGGACTGAGGTTTTGCTAAGCACGCCTCTAGAGTCACAGCTAGTGTTTCTCAAACTCGCCCTTGGGCCGCAATCCTAATGCAGAATCTTCATTTTTTACAAGCTTTCAGGTGATTCTGATGCACTGTAATTTGAGGGCCCCTGATAGAAAGCCCCATGGTAAAGGATAACAATCGAATACAATTGCAGTAAGATTTTTAAAAATCCAGGCCAGCATTCCATGAAAATTTACTATGGAGTTAATTGATGCTTTCTGCCTATTATTAATATCTCTGGGCAAGGAAAACAACTGACGCAAACTCATTCATTCAACAAATACAAATATAGCATTTACTATTATCATGTGCCAAACACAGTTCTAGGCTGGAGCATACAGCAATGAGCAAAAGACAAAATTATCCCTTCCCTCCTGGAGTTTACTATCTCGTGGGGAAGATGTACAATAAACAAAATAAATTAATGAAATATATATAGTGTTTAGGGGAGATATATAAAGCAAGGGAAGGAACACAGGAGCTGAAGAGGAGCACAGTTTGTCTTTAAATGCGGTACATTCAAATGGGAGAATTTAGTCTCTCTTAATTATAGTTTAAAAGGTATTGATTTCATAGCCATATCATGGTACATGTACAAGACTCTTCTCCCCGCCCCCACTCCCATAAATTTTGATAAAACAAAAGAAAAATGTTAACTCCACCACTGGCCTCTTAACTTACCCAAACCAGGATTCAGCTCTGAAGAGCATGGGGTTTCTCCATTCAACAAATATTTCCAGGCCTTTGACCTACTTAGAACAGTTGGGGGCACAAAGGTAAGCAAAGGCAGGTCTGGCCTCTGCCCACTCAGAGTTTGCAGTCTGTTGGGGGAAGCAACAAGGGTGTATGAAAATGAAAAAGAAATGCTATGAAAGTACAGGAAGTGGGGACCTGACTTGGCTCAACAAGATGCAGCTGCCTTCTCCCAAGTGTGGGCGCTGGAGGAACTGTCCAAACGCCCACAGTTGCCAGCAAGGGGGAGCGTGATTCAAGGGGAAGCCTGGAAAGTATGGGTAAGAACTTTCAGTTCCCTTTATCCTTAACAGAGATAGACAGTGACAGGGCATTTAATAAATGAAAGCATCCCATGATCCGACTGGCATTTCGAAAAGATCACTCAGGCTTCAGTGTAAACCTCAAACTTAAAAAATTGGGGTACACCTCCAAAACACCCCTAATTTCTCTTATTTGTTAAATTTTAAACCTTAAAAATACAGATACATTAAGCATCTCCCCCCAAATACACCGATTCTCAGAATCTATTCTTAATGTTTATTATTTGCTGGGTAAAGTTATATTTTTATTTAATTAGGTTTCTAGGAGTCTGTGCATCCATCCCTAATATACCCATCCCCACTCAGCATTCATCTTTCCAGACTAAAACATGCTAATCCTTTCTTCCCTACTCGTTCAAGCTCCATCGCTTTCTCCTTGAATATTGAGAAATATTCTCTGAGTCTTCTCTAATTTCATTACATCGCTCTGGAGGTTGTGTTATGTGGTTTATCATTGAATAATACTAATAATAACTCCCAAATCATTTTTCTTGGTGATGCATTGGTTTGCATTTGGCCTTCACTGAATCTCATTTTCTTCCACTCTTTGGTCTGTTTACATAGCCTATGACCAGGGCCAAACCCCAATTTTAATAGTTTTAATGCTTACTCCTGTTAGAAATGGACATGCTACATTTTGAAGGCCGTTACACTTACAGAGATAGTGGTGGAAAACATGACTTTTGGAGCAGGCCGCTTACCAGCTTTATGAGGAATATGTTAGTTATATAGTCTCTCAAAACTTCAATTCCTTCATTTAAAAAAGGAGGTTGTATTATAATAGTGCATACTTTATGGGGTTTTATGAAGTTTGAATGAAATGACACACGTAAGTGCCTAGCACATAATAAGCACTCGATAATGTTAGCCATTATTATTATATACTATTAAATGGGCACATCAAACTAGATCATGAAATTCCTATTTAAATAATCATTCAAGAAAAGATTAAAATAAAACAAGACCTGACTTTAACCTTTGTGAATGTGAGGAACCCTTACAAGCTGGGGGAAGGAAAGAGTGAAAAAGCCATTGAATGTCAACAAACAGTGGTGCTTTACCAGCTGAAAGAGGGTCTTTGGGCCAGCTCAGAGTCCCTCCTCTTCATTTAACCTTCAACTCATTTGCCAAGGTTTCATTTGTCAGGCAGATGACGTCAGACTGTGTTTGCTCGCTGATTGTCATTGAGATTTCAGTATTGAAACACCGGGCTCTAAGAGGCAGGAATTACTCCTGCAACATAGCCCATTTTTCTGCAACATAGCCCATTTTTCTGCCAGTAGTCTGTGGTCCTCTGAAACCCCTTCAATACATCAGAATGAAAAACCATCACAAACTACATCAGACGTTGCTGTTGTTAATTATTTGTCACCAGTGGCAGATTAATAAAAATTAAAAAAAGATCAGGCACAAGAACCTGTGCTGTTTATTTCCTGCCATGTTCTTTCCTCAGCTTGGGCACCAGCTTCTTGGAGGCTATTCGTGTCCACGCTCACTATATTTGGATGTTTTCCAATTCAACTGTGGTATAAAGGAAAGAAAAATCAGCTAACTCCTAAACTACGTGGCAGAAGGTGGAGTAACTAAGAGGGCTACTCTCTTTGGTTCCTATTCTATTTGAATAATTGATATC